GAAAACAATAACTGAATCAGGTCACTTGTACTGTCACTTCAAAAGCTGCTCAAAAATCCAAAGATTGAAATGTAAATTTGATGCTGTTTTCATCCTGTATCTTTTCATCTTTGTCAGAATGTAAGTAATTCTTCTTGTCCACAGTTATTCCGTTCTGTGTTCTGTATGTGATTGATAAATGAAACACATTCAATAAACATAAAGTATAAAAAAAATAAATAATTAGTTTTCTTCAAAAACTTAAATTGCCTAATATTAGATATTATGTATTTTTCTTTGATAGGGTTTTATAATTAATGGTGTTCGCTGAGAAAACTCATTGTGTGTATTTTCTTAGTGTTTTTTTTATTATTGTCTGTGGTCTTTATGTTCAAGTCTTAAGAACTTTTTCTATTTTAACAAACTTGAGAAAACTAAAAAGAATATTTGTTTAATTCCATTTAGAGTAAGGCAGAAACATAAATATGGATAAAGTTCAGCGCTGTGAATTATTTCAGATCCAATGTTTTCCTTTCTAGACTTTCCTGCACAGCTCCAGTTGATGCAGCTTTAAATTGTGAGTCAGAACATATTTCAGCAGGAATGATGATTATATATGTGACTGAAGCTAAGTGAGGTGATCATTTTGTATTATAGTGTTTTTACAGTAATAATAAAAAAAGAATTTCTCCAATAAACCCAAACTCCTTTTTCTGACTTCCTGAATCTTTGGTTTAGGAAGTGAACATTAATCCAACATAAGCCGAAGCAAATGGAAGATGAGGTGAGTTTGAGAGGATCTCTTACTGTCTTCTCCTGGGCAGGGCATGCCTGGCCGCTCCGGGATGCTGGGGAAAACTGGAACAGACAAAATGAGGTAACATTAAAAAATATTTAGGTATTTTTCCTGTGCTCAAGTTACAAAAATCAGGAGTATCAACAGTAAGAACAGTGGAAAATCTAAACAACTGTAATTATTTAAAACCATTACTTTTCAAACAATATTTCCCTTTTTCTGAGAAAAATCCGATTTATAACCAATCTATCGATCTAATATATTCCTGTATGTCTTAATAAAGGCCACTGAGAGTGAGGGACACCCAGGTCCACTGTGCCAGGCCCAGTTGAGGTACTTAGGCAATTATACTCATTTCCTGTAGTGAAAGAAAAAAGACTTACTATAACATTTAAGATGCATAAAAAAAAAAAGTCTTAACAGAAAAAATGGTTGGCATTCTGGCATAACTCTGTGGCTCTAATAAAACAGAAATCCCACATAAAAGGAAAGTTGCCTTTTTGTCCTCTGTGTTTAACCTGTCCATCATGGAGGACTGATGTCACACTGAGTGGGGTTAAGGCTCTTACTCAGGGACCCCCCAGTTACAGTCAGTTAACCTTTGTGGACTCTTCATGACACTAAGGTCGCCCCCCCATAGCAACACAGAGGACGTGCAGTTTAGTAAAGACAGAAGAAACTCTGGAGCAAACAATGTTCACTAAGCTAACTTTACCCACTGAAGGCAGGTATGCACTGTACAACTTTTTGCCCTTTTCGGGCAGATTTTCTGGTCGTGCGAGAATTTTTCGATTGGGCCGACTTTCAGCCTGATCGTGCATCCTGCTTTGTGTAGTGTACAGGGGTAACGAGGGGCGATAAGCCTCTCGCGACCACCTCCCGATCAGGAATCATAAGGTTAGGAGAAAATCAAAAAAATTTTAAATTCATTCAGCCCTCGTGAGGCGTTTGTGGGCAAATCCTTCTGTTGAAGCAGAGCTACATGCCGATTTACCAGGACCTCAAGCACTGCTGCAAACAAAGGAGTTCTTCTTCTTCTTCCAGATTGCGTCTGACCAGCACCATCTCTCGGAGCTGAGTCCGACGTGGTTTTTCTACGTATAGTGTGAGCAAAAGATTGCATCAGAGCGTCAGGCCGTACAATGGCAGAACTTTCACCGTGAGCTGTGAACTTTTAAAACCTGTGGATTCGTTGTACAGTTTGAGCTGTAGCTGCGTGCAACGATTGAAAATATCCCACGGTGTACGCCTGGTTTAAAGCTACTCTAATTACAAAATCAGCTGACAGACAGAACGTACTATGGCCACCATCATTTAAAGGTTTGCTTGTATAAAGACATAAACTTGATAGTGAGTGCAAAGATGATCTACTAACCAGCCAATGCAAGAATTGTGTAAGTGACATAAGCAAAACGGCAGATCTAGTCCTATTAGCATGTTTGTCTTCACAAATAAACACAACATATGCTGAACATAAGAACATGCAAAACACCGGGAGGAGAATATAGAAAATAACGACTAAATAACGACGGTCATTGTGGTGAGAAGGAGGCGTGGCCTCAATGACAGTAGTTTCTCTGTGCTCGCTTGATCTTAGGATTGAACCATGTTATTTATCAACGAATGGTAATTTTCTAAAAGATTTCTAGCAGAAAGGCATTTTCTTGCATCTGCGTGGATCACTCCGTCATACTATCCTAGTTAGAAGCATCTACAAGATGGATGTTCTGGTGAATGTCCAGTCATTTTGGACCGATCTAAAGCTGTCGAAAATCATGAACTCTTTGAGAAGTACCTTGTTCTTAACGAGTCGGTGCCCACCTTAGACAAAAAGTATTCCCACAGCTGGCCTTGCGCTTTTTCTCACAAATATTGCTATGTAAACTGCTTTGTTTTTTCAAAGGTAGAGCTATACTCTCAAGCACTTTCTATTGGCCACGCTGGCTTCAATGATTGCAGCATCAGATTTTGACTTCATCCCGATCTATGTTCACATCCAGCCTGAAAGTTCGCCAGTTCCCCTGTTCCCTCTGTCAAAATGATGCATTTAGGTATCAATTTGCATGAATAGGTACTTGGTGGTGCTGACGGAATTTGGTCTGTACAGTAGTAGCCATTCAAAATTTCCCGAATTCCTTAATAGATCCTTGGCTGGCCCTTTGCTGGTCACCTACAATTCCTTTTTAAACAATAACCTTTGTACTAAATATTATTTCTGTCATGATTTGTGGACATTAACATCTAAAGCGAAGCGTCATCTCCTGGTCAGACCCTGTAATTCAGCGAAAGGGTAAAGAAATATGCTAGAGAGGGTCACTCTAGTGGCTGGAAGTTGGAGAGAAGTGGGCTGCCACTCGGCTGGCGTTTGACTGGGAAGGGCCATTTGAATAGCTGCAACTGTACCTATTAAAGTACTTTATGTGGTGTCTACAGATGAGGGGGTCTAACTGTCATCTGTAGATTAAAAAGGGGCGGGAGAGCAAACTGAAGAGGCCTGTTTTTTGGCAATAATCATGGTAGGTGGGAGACTGTGTGACAATAAATTGGTGAATTCCAGTTTTTTATTGTGTTGTAGTTTGGTTGTAGCTTAGTCACATAATTTATTGTCTAAAGGGTTTTAATTTGAAGGTCAAAGTACTGTGTTTATAAATTCTGGTGCATGTTTGTTCTGTAGGGATTGCTGCTTGATACCAAAAGCAGAAAGCAGTATTTCTATACAACACAGGGAGTGTAGTGCCAGTGTCCAACTCTCCATGTATTGTTGTGTAAAACCACACCTCTTCACACTGGCATTCATAGAGAATAACTGAAAGACGCCAAAAGGTATGTGATTATTATGGGAGGTGTTTACTGGGTGGTTTGAGAGCAAAGCATTCAGTCCTGGGGAGGCAGCCAAGGTGCAGACTGAAACTGTTGCTATGAGGTCCTGAGCAACAACATCAAACCCAAAATGCTCCATGTATGCTAACAGCTAGGCAGCACAACGCTCACTTAATTAACACTGAGGACAAACCTCCTTTATTGAGCAACCAGAAAAGCGTCTTTCCTTTCGATTCCTGATCATCGGGTCAGGGCTGACTTTTTATTCATAAAGATTTCTTATAACAAAGGAGTTTAAAGAAAGGACTAACTATTATCTTCAAGCTTTTCCAAAGGGAAAGATCATCCTGTTGTGTTGTTTTAGGTCACTGTGGGCGCCGTAGAGAGAACTTCTTCTACCTTTGCTCAGCGTCTGACCTGATACCTCCTCCAGCTCCTATCAGTGGGATGCACCAGTATAACCAACTCACCACCAGGTGGTGATGGCCGAACACCTTCAACCCTCTCTTCGACCAAGCGTCCAAAATTTGCAGCCAAAGGTCACCAGATTTGACCTCTGACCTAGGACGCTCAAGTGCACAGAAGGACATCGTTATGCTTGAACATTATGATGGAAAACCTTCAGGTCAGAGAAACAGAGTGCTGTTTGCAAAAACAAGCTGCCATAAGATCGAAATGTTCCCTCAGACCGCCTCTCTGATAAACTCAGCTTGTCTAGAAAAAATATATATTTCTACAAAAAAAAATGAAAATAAAAGTGTTGAACCCTAGATGTTCATAACGCTGCTTATCCTCATCCGATTCCTTTCTTACATATTAGCTGATCTCCATACGATGCGAGGTATTCCTTGTTTAGGAACCAAAACCTGGCTAATAAAGTTAAGTTTATGTTTTTTTTATTGTCATATTCTTTGCTAAATCATCTCCACTGGTTCCAGATCAGTCCCCAGGACACCAGCAGCCACATTTTGCATCAAACACTAAAGCAGTGAAGTTATGTTGCCAAGAACGTTCTGCTCATTCCCTTCTTATAGGCGGCTTCACATTTCTAACCTCACATGTCGCCAGACGGAAAAATACGGATTCATATATCTAGACATGTTTGTATTTTAATCTAAAATCATTGCTCACGTTTTGTTTTTGTGCACAGTTGTTTCTACACCATGCCAAGATGTCAAACTGCTCCCTGTTCTCAGCTCTGCCATCAGATTCTTCAGAGTATTTGTGCTGAAAGTCTGAGGAATACAGAGCAGTAAGGAGCAGTGAGAGTCCCGCCCCCCGTGGTGCTGACTGCCCCATCGAGGACTTGGCTCTTTAGTCTTACTAACAGTGGTATGTTTGTCAGGTTAGCCTCGCAGTGCTGTTAGTCTGTCAAGGCAGCAGCAATAAGCAAACTGCAGGGGGTCCTGATAGCTGTTAGTCTGGTGGGCCAAAAGAAGCCTCTCTCTAGGACCTTCCTGATAAAGGACGTCAGAGCAACAGCTCTACAGTCTTTAAAGAATAGTGGCTGAGTTTTATTTTGCACTGGAACATGAAAGAGTTTGGATCTTATCTTTGATGGGGATTTTCTAAGCAGAAAATTACATTTTGGGGTTAATTAGCCTCCAGATTTCCATCACTATCCAGACAATGGAGCCTAATGTAACGTTCAGGTTTAACACAGGGGAGGAAGAAACTCACCATGCAGCAGGAGTCCAGATCTCTTGGTTCTGCTGTAAATCCGAAGCGCCTCTTCCAGCTCCATCTGAGAGGAGATGGTGCAAGGATCTCCTGCAAACACATACATGGTTCTGTTCAGGATGAGTTTGGATAAATCCAAGCTAAGGTACAGTGATGGTCATCTGATCATGGACTGGGAGGCCAACCCGAGGTCAGTCAGACTAAACACCAGTTAGACGAGAGCTAAATAAAACAGGTTTCATTCAAAGATATCTTCCCAGAATTAAACACGATGAGGTCAATACCTTCCATCCTCTGTGGATGTTAAATAATCCACAGAGGATCCACTGGGATCCAGTGCGGGTTTACATCGGATCCCAGACCGTTGTTAAGTTCAGAGTAGTGAGTAGATTTTGGTCATTTTCACACTGGATCCTCTGGTGAGTTACACAAGCTCAAATAAAGCTTAAAAGAAAGTTAAATCTTCTGTTTAATATGAGATCAGATTGACGTCTGTTCTGATGTTGGAGGCAGAGTCAAGTTGTCATTTAGCTGAAACATCAATTCAATTCAGTTTATTTCTATTGCACCAATTCACAACACAAGTCATCTTAAGGCTCTTTACAGTTCAACCAGATCATCCAATCAAATTGATACAAAGTTTTCTATCTAA